TGATTTATTTTGATATGTCAATATGGGTATATGTTTTTAAACTTTGATTCATAAATAAAGAGTTATTGCATTTCAACGTATCAACGTCCAATAATTGCCACGATATTAATAAGCATGTTAATGTTAGGTTAAAGTTTATTTAAACTTTGGGTGTTTGTATCTTTCTCTTTAAATTTAACAGTTAGACGATTTATCCTTTGTTATTTTTTGTTTGGTTTATTTTTAATCAAAATGCCTTCACATGCTTCTTTAATTGTTGTTATTGTTGCGAAAGATGATAAATCTTCATTTACGCAAGGCCTGGCAAAGTATCAGACAGATAAAGGCATTTTTCAAACAATTAGATGGAAATATTTTCATCCATTGATAAACCTCATTTACAATTTTCTCCGGGTGATTTACTGTTTTTTGGAGGGAAATTCACGATTGAAGACGGAATTGAATATATTACGATTGCTTATGCTACTATCGTTGATGTTGGAAATCCTGATGATAGATTCAAAAGTGACAAAATTTCTCTTTGTGTTCTGCATTTTATGTCCCTTGTAAAAGTCAAGCATAATCCGAAAATTTGTGATAATATCGTCTATTTCGGGGGCCGAATGTCGTGTTTATAACTCATTTACAACTCATGATGTTCACATGGATCTGATAGTTTCTTATCCTGCTCAAGCCATTAGATTTAATCATTTACATGATCGTATTAAAATAGGTCGTTCGTTTGTGGTATCTGGTTTTATCAAATTTGAGAAACCTGATATCGTTGCGTTAGAAGCAACTGACATTGATTATTTGTCGTCCTTTGATTTTAATTATAATACTGCGCTTGAAACTTCACCATCAACCGTCTCAAAATCTCGTTCAGTTATTAATTCAATAGCTGATGAGTTCAGATCCACCTCACAAACTCCTAATAAACGTCAAAGGTCAATGTTTACTTCTATGAACCAAGCCCCTGTTCCAACTTTATCTACAACACCGCAAGAACTGGACTCTTTTGATGTCAATGCCGGAATCACTTCTAATAAAAAAAGTAAAAAAAAATTATCAGATTTGGCGCTAGATTCTCTTAATCTAGGTGCAACAGGTGAGACTGTTAATCTTACAAATCTAATCTCACATGTGTTGTAATCAATTAAAATATGAGTATAAGAGTGCCACCGGCACCCTAAACACGCTGGATTGAAATCAAAAAAAAAAAAAATTATGGATACTTATGTTAAAATCAACTTTATAGTCTATGCGATAAACATAATTTCTCCCCGGTTTTAATGTATGCATAACGCTAACGGTCCCTCCTATTTATAGGTACCGAAAGTGTTGAAGATTGGGTTGAAACTGTAAGTTACGAAGAAAATGACAATGATAGCAGTGGACAAGAAGATGAACAAGAAAAAAATAAAGAACAAGAAAAAAAAATAGGAAAAAAGAGAAAAAGAAGGGTTAACAAAGGAAGTATGAGCAGAAATTCAAGAAAAAAAAAATAAATTCTACATATAAAATTAGGAACCTAAACTGCTTAGAATTTTTTAAATTTTTAACTGTTTGACTGTGTTAACCAAATGTAGGCAATAAAAAAATAGTACTATCACTAAATTACTACAGTGCTTTATAATCGTACCTTCCTTTTTGCTATTTATACCCTCTACTCCTGTAAAAAGTATTGATAATAACTATCGATACGGTTTATCAGCACAGTTAATGAACAGCACTAACTTTAACGACACATCATGTTTAGCACAATGGTTAAAGTTATATTAAAATGAGCAAATTAGATCGCATATATGTTATGTCGGTATTTATTGCATGATTAACTTATAATACAAATCAATGTGTAATTTATATACCACAATAAAAATTAATTATTTATGTAAAAGAGAACACATGTAACAACAGTTATTCCTTCTAATAATCTATTACAAGATTACTCTTATCAGCGTTATTAACTATCTAATATTTTAATTCGATGTTGGCAATTCTTAAACTTTTATTTTTGTTAATTTGTTGTGAACACGTTGCTAATCTTGGCATTTATTCTTGATTAATTAAATCATAATAATGAACTACTAAAAAAACTTTTATTTTAACATTATCAGCGTTATTAATTTCGACCTACAATCACTATAATTCATACCCGGAATTTTAGATCAATTTTTAAATAATAAAGCAATTTTTATCTCTAATAAAAATTTTTAGATTATATAGATCATCAAACACACTTTAAATGTATTATTAGATTTCGTGATTTCTTACAAATAAAAACATACCTCATTATAAATAAATTGTGACCGCTTAAGACTCTTCTAACCACGTAATTATTTAATCATATTAACCGTTTGTTTTAGCTAATATTAAAGTACTCCTTCTACTTTATATCGAGTAAATGCTTAAAATTAAACTAATTAAACAATTCTAGTCCTTATTATGTACATGTTTATAAATCTGTCAAAATAGATACTATTGATAAATAATAAAATGTCACAACATTCGTTATATTGTTCCTTGCCTATTTTTACTATTGTTCCGGTAAAACTTATAAGACTGTTGACACAATTCAAATCCGATGTTTAATTTATATGTTCTTTATACTAGAACTCGAGAATTAAATAACTGGTACAAACAATTATAACATTGACTTTGGCACATGAATTTATATGATTAGTTAAAGACCACATACTTAACTATATCTACCCATAATCACTTAATTAGATCAGATCAAATTACAATAATTAACTTATACTGATTAAAGTAATCTGTGACATATTAATAATATCAAAAGGAAACAATGAAATGATAACAAGATGTACTATAAGTATTAAGAATTTTAACGAGTAGGAATAACAAACAATCAATAAATATAAAAACAGTTAATTATACGTATAAAGCCTTTGACCTTTATAAATAATTATAAATACGCTGACGCAGGCAAATAAAAAGATACATAATACGTTAATCCCTATAAAGTATTCATGAAATATATGAATTTCAAGTATAAATACCTAACATCTTTGCAAGTGGTATTCTCTTAAGATTTACATCTTATAAATTTCTAAGCTCATGTATCGTCAAATAATTCACACAACAATTGAAAATCTATACAACGGTGAATGCAGTTATGGTGATTTAAATGCCGATCTCTCTTTGAGCCAAGAATTACTGTCCAATACCAATCAAGACCCTTTTTTGTCTACAATTTCACAACCAAACACTGTGTCAACATCCTTTTTGCCGTGGCAACCTTCTCGAGCCTTAAACCATCTTAATGATCGCTTTCAAAATGAAATTTTATATATGTTCTCTTGTGTTCCCTGTTCACATTGCTCAATACTTATGTTTCCTAATCAAGCTAGATGGATTGAATTTGATAACAATGAATGTTATGATCTTTTTAGTGCTTTTCCGCATTTATCTCTTACAAGACATCCTAACAAATCAACTCACGTCGCAGTTTGTTCATCATACAGAACTATCACGAGACATCGTTCTGCTCCGATATTATCACCAATTCCAAAAGAACTGCTTAATGTTCCGATATATCATCATTGATGGCTCTCTCCTGTTCATTTAAGTTGTTCGTTAGGACGTGCAGAACGTGCAAATCAGTTCACACATTACCATCATCTTATTGAAGAATTTGGTTTATCGAGAATATTCGCGCTTTACATTTATACTCTGGGTCATTAGGGGCCATCTTGGATTCTGCAGCAAATAACAACTGGTTTCATGATTCTTTATTGTTTGCGGCTGATTGGCTAAAGAATAATAATCCATTGTTTCGCCCATTCAATAGAATAACTACATCCGTTATTACTACTAGTACACCTGCTCCTTTTCCCTCTGCTAGATTAATCAATGATCAAGGAAATCCGATAATTAATAATACTTCCTTACGTCATCAACCTGATTTAGTGGTACCAACACATGATTTTAACCCTGAAATACATGATGAGGATTATTATTATAATAGACTAATGGCAGGATTTATGGTAAATTCTGATAACACAGAACTTCCAATTAAATATAATGATCCGAATTTAGAAGCCATTCTGTTTCCAGACCTTTTTCCTAATGGTCACGGTCATTGGGGAGAGCTCTCTAGAGAACTGTCAAATCATCGGTACAAAATTGACACGTATGTAAATATATCAAGTTACGTATGTTATGTCCAGATCTGCGCTTTCAACTTCATTGGTACTGGCCACACTGGTTTTATGTTAATTTAGAAAAATTGAGAAACCATTAAAATAAACAACGAATTCTACGACAAAAAATACTGATCATCAGCAACTTCCAACAATTGCAAATTTGATTGGTCAGAGTATCTACAGTAATCGTCCGATCATAAGTGAAACATTAACTACTACAATTCCATCGTATATCAGAATAGGAAATACTTACTTTCGTCAACGAGAACACTCGATCAATACAATGGTACAAAATCTCAGTTTACCTCAAATTTTTTACACCATGACTATGGCTAAAGGTCGTTGGAGTCATTTAACCAAAATTTTATCATCTACTGATGATTATTCCACTCTACCAACGAATCGACCTGTATATACATATCTTCATTACCATCATAAATTAAATTCGATTCACAAATTATTATGAAAAAAACCTAATTTAGCAGAATGGGGTTGGTGGTTACATTATTTTGAGAGGGATGAATTTCAGAATAGAGGGACAAT